TACATTCTTCCAGTGTCCTAACACCAGTTCAGTCATTTCTGTTTTCATTAATTAAAGCCTAAATTAGAGTTGAACCATTGGTCAAAAAGACAAATCTGTGACGAACAAAATGTTAGAGCACTAAAAACAGTGATTAGGCGAAATTTTAGAAGCCACTAAATTATGAAAATCTGAAAAATAATTAGGTGGTTGAAATTTACAGTACATACAGTTTTTAAGGTATTACATTAGAGGTAGATGTTATAGGATCCCTTAATGTGTCCTTGAGTGTTTGTCCTGTGTATTTAACTTCCTTCCTTTGTGCTTTTCCTTGCAGATAAGCATTTCAGTTTATAACTTTTACCAGCATCTACCATGACTGCCACTAAAGACCTCCTGGATTTGGCAAAGCATTTGAAGAAAGAGAAGTTATTTGTGTCCTCTGAGAAGCAACAGCTACAAAGGTTGAACCAGGAAGTTACTAAAACAGCTGAAAACTTGTATCATTTGTCATGGATCACTCGACAGCAGAGGCAGAACTTGGAAAAGTTGATACTCGGCTCTTGGGATATGTCACCGGCCGCCTGCTGTTATCGTGCAAACGCTTTGGAACGAGTGAGTTTCGTTGATGCCTATAAGCATGTGAGCTACCACGACACTGTGTACGGTGAGTTTTTGAAAATGTTGCGAGAGAATCCCCAGCTGCTCGGCCACTGTCTGCTGCAGGAAAACAGCGTGGAGGATACACAGAACATTGCCAAGGTGGTGATGTCTGCGGTGTATGGTAACTGTGTCATGCAGGAAGACGAGAGACATGTGCTCCTTCTCTTGCAAGCCCTGGTCGAAAACGAGTTGGCTGGTAATGATGATCCACGGCGATTACTTCGCAGGGGATCATGCGTCTTCAGCATGGTGTTCAAGCAGTTTACAGAAGGTCTGTATTCTGGTCGGCTGTACTTAACAGCTGCTCTTCACGAACCGCTGATGGCATTATTGATGGAAGATGAATGTTACTTAGAAACAAACCCACATAAAGTCGTTGACAATTTTACGCAACAGGAACAAGAGAAACTATTTGGATCTCGTGGGAGTCCCGAATACCAACAGAACGTCCGACAGCATTTAGAATCAAACATATCTCGCTTAGTGCAACACTGCAACAAATTTATCCAAAGTCTTAAAGACAGCATGTACTGTTTCCCACAAAGCTTGGATTGGATTGTCAGTCAAATTTACAAGATTACTACGCGTACAGGCAAAATCAAACCAGAAGAAGTCCGGGCTATGTGTATAGATATGTTGTTGTTGTTATTTATATGTCCAGCCATTGTTAATCCAGAACAGTATGGCATTGTGTCCGATATTCTGATCAGTGAGATAGCCAGGTTCAACCTCATGCAAGTTGCACAGATATTGCAAGCCTTATCCATGAAGATGTACTCCACCACAGACAGCAGAAGTAATGATATCTACTCCAGATTTCCCAAGGTTTGTAGATATTTACATTATTTATCTGGGTAGAAGTCGTGACAGTGTTTTGTGGCAGTATAACTGGATGACTGTATTCGCAAAATGTATCTTAACTTCTTTTCTCATGATCTTTCATCAAATAAAAAATTAGAAGAATAATTCAGCTGAAAATTAGAATAGCTGGTCTTAAGGTAGACTATTATTTGCATACTTGTTTTCATCCTCTAATTGTGACTAAATGACTACAAATAGACCCAGGAAAGTATATATTTTTAGAAACGCCAGAATTCAAGCTTTTCACAAGTGTATTTTGCATGCCCGTATCTGCATTATACGACGCGTTACTCAACCAAAGGTGAAAAATTACTTTTTCTGTAAAAAAAATAATTACGCATTGATGCTGGCGATAAGAAGTATTTTTTTCACTTTTCCTAGTTGTTCAATAGTCTGGTAAATTGAATGTGTCTGGTCAGTTTTATTCAAGCAACGCGTTTTAAAAAATAGTGTGCTGATTTTCAATTACTGTTTTAGTCGCATTGCCCCCAACTCAGACCACAACTCGTTGGTAAATAATCGATGAAATAGTTTGTCTGGACACATTCAATTTCCTCTCACTGTCACCTT